AATTACTAATGAAGACAGAAATCAAAGGAATCAGGGTGTCAGATTGAGGAACTTAACTTGGGTCTGTCCAATTTTACACTCTAATATTGTTTATGTTAATCATCTTAATTATTTTGCAGGTGGAAAAGTCACGTTTAGGTACAACCTTCCCATTCACATGAATTTTTCATATGAGCAATTGTTGTCAAATAAATGCATTGCAGTTAGGAAGGTTGGCTCCTCAGCTCTTTTTATGTGTTAAGTGGCAATTGGGATTGTCAGCTTCTTACTCTCCGTGTGCTCTGTGTCTCCTACCAGATCTATAGGCGAACAGGTTCTTCTCTGGCTTGTTACGTTTGTCTGCAGATTTCTGCATATCAAACGTCTGTTTAAATAGAAACAACAATAGGGACAGCAATTTATTTCTATGATGAAGTGACACCAACATAGTACAATGTCATTTCCAAGATTATTTAACAACTATGTGGCTAACTTAACGTGATTCACCTAACCACTGGCAAGAAAGCTCAAAATATGGGGCAAAATTCACTTAACAATTGTCTTGCTTAGCAACAGAAATTTTGGCCTCAATTGTGGTCATCAGTCAAGGATTACTTGTAGTCACTATTTGTCTCCTTTTAAGTCACCCAGTCCAAAAGAAATCAGGGAAGGTTAAAAGTTTGCAAACTCATTTTTCAAACTCAAGTTGGTTCAAGAAGGTTCTCCCTACAGGAACACTGCCACCAGTCAAACTTTATTTTAGTCAATAACTAGCATAAGGACTATGTTGGTATGTGTTATATAATTTGGACTCATAATGGATTAAGACCCTGTCAACACTTCTTTGTTACGTTTTTTAAATTATATGTTTGATATTTTTGTACTGTTGACATTTGACTCTATGTTCTACATCGCTTCTTAAGAGAAGCAATACAACGAAACCTATTCAGTAATAATAGTCATGCAAAGAAAAAAAAATTGTGTCCTTGTAACTTTTGGGAACATTTTTCTGCTCCAGTAACATACTTGCTTTTAAGTTTTGAAAGTATGAAAGATAAGCAGTGGCATGTATTTGAACAAATCCTTTACAAAAAGAAGTGATTAAAAATTGTGGCGTATTGTTAGCTTTCTTCACTTATGCCAACAACTTGGAGGTCAAGATCTAAAGGTTACAATGAACTTGGGTGTGCAAACAAGTGATAATTGAGGGCATTTTTGTCCTCTACGAACATAGCATGGATGTTTAGTTTTACTATTTCCAATTTTCTAAAGGCCTGCACTTTTAATTTGCCTTGACAGACAGTAAGAACAGCAGATTTTCAAGTAATTGTCTCCATCCCCCCAAAAAATTCAAAATCTTTTTTAAAATGTGGTTTACAGTCCTCAAATCTAGGGGAAAAACTAACCTTATGATTATTTCCACCAACAACCTCAGTACACACCCATCTTTTGTGATAGCTTAGATCTTTCTTTTTTTTTCAACTATCTTATGCAATGCATTCTGGCTGGGAATTATGGAATTTAAAAGACAGCACACCCAGAAGGCACCAAGCTGTGGGTGACAGACAAAGCCACAATTTCCTCAGAACTAGGCCTTAGTCGTTGTTCCAGCACTAACCTTTGTCTAATGCATAGACTTCTGCAGTTTAAATAGCACGATTGTTTTCTTTGGCAATCATGTCACTCACCTCCATCCAACTTTTTAAATCAGAATTGCATAATCTAATCTCTTTGACTCTGAGGTATTATAGGTGCTTCCTTGGGTTAATTAAGCTTTCATTTTTTTTCCCATTATCAATTCAGAATCTCAGAATCTATGGGCTGAATGCCTTCCCCTTTCACTTCAGCACTCTTACACATGTGGGATTATCCCCCTAAATGTATTTGAGTGTGCTTTTAAGGGCAGATCCATAATATTACACTGGAAGGATATAATTTTACAGGTTCTTACTTGGAAGATGACAATGAGTTTTGTGTATTTTAAAGATCTGCAAGACTATTATGCCAGAAGTGGCTTTTCAAATGACTTTTTGACTTAAATTCCGAGTTGGGAAACAGGTAGAAATTGTCACATAAGAACTAAAACAGATATACTCCAGAGAAGAAGGAAAACCCTCATCAAATCTCATGTATGATTTGGCCTTACCCACTTAAATTTATTTGTTGGATTTATATCCGTTTTATTTATGTTCAGGAACTCAAGGTTGTTAGCAGTTCCTTCTATTTTTCCCCAAAATAATTCTGTGAAATAGACTGTCCTGAGAAATAGTAACTATTTATTTATTAATTTGTCCAATTTATATGCCGCCCTTCTCCATAGACTCAGGGTGGCTTACAATGCATTATAGCAATAGCCTGCATACTTTTTTGTATATACCTGCTTATTAGGGCTTTGGGGGGGGAGCGCCCTAAGCAGTGTTATTCTATACAAAGTTGGCTTATTGCCCCCACAATCCGGGTCCTCAATTTACCTACCTCGAATGGATGGAAGGCTGAGTCAACCTTGAGCCTGGTGAGATTCGAACTTGCACTAATTGCAGGCAGCTGGCAGCTAAGCGCTAGCACTTAACAGCACTTTAGTCCGCTGCACCACGAAGGCTCTTATAACTAGCCCAAATCCAACCACAATTTGGTGACTGTGGGTAGTTTGGAACCCAAATTTTCTCTATGCTAATCTAACAGCTTAATCACTAGCTCACACTGGGAGTCTTTTTGCAGTCCCTCTCTTCCCAAGGGCTCATCCAGCCCATGTTATAGATTAAATATTTGCACTTGCCTCCCCTAAATTTGATAATGCTTGAAACGGTATTTCATGCCATGGCACTACGACCGTTTGAATTCTCTCTTCTACAACACCATGAACAGTACAAAAAGTCTAACTTGCTCAGAAAAGCAAGTGGCTAGGATATCACTATCAAATAAACCAGCACAAGTATTGACTCCCACGCATTCAGCCACAGCAAGCATAGAAAAGCTATAGCACAATCACAGGAAAACACCTTGCCTTTTCATACAGCTTAATTCTCCCGTCAGAAAGGAAGAGAATTAAATTTTAAAAAGTCTGCCCATCAGATTTATCAGCACATCTTCTTAAGAGAGCCCTCATCTAATCAGCTATGGAGGGGGTGGGGGGTGGGAGAGAGGATAAAATGACAAGATTGTAGTAGCTGAAGAAATGGTATCCCACTTGCTGTTTTACTTAACCCTGTAGAACCCACAAGTTCTCACCTGTCCTAAAAAGGATGGAAAGGGAAGGAATTTCTTAAAAACACACACCCCTAATTATTTCCTATCTTCAAGGTGATTTTTTTTTTTACGAAAAAGGAAAACTATCTTTTTTATCACCAGAAAGCCTCTGATCCTGTTTTTCCAGATCAGCTTGCAAAAAAAAAAAAAAGCCTGCTAGAGGCCCTTAAGCCTGCCAAAGGAACACCATATGAAAAGCTATTAGCCCAGCTGTTTGCCTTTTTCAGCTGTGACAGATTCATATCCTGACACATATGGACTCCGCTTTCCCATCAGTAACGAACCGTATTTTACTAAACCTTGTTTGCACAAGATGCTATGTTAGATTTGCTAGCCCATGGATCCAGGGCAGCTCATATCTCAGGCTTGAACATTTTACCGCTGCCTCTACTTAACGTTTTTATCCAGATTGAAATAACTACAGTACACTGCAACTCTCCCCAACCATTGCAAAGAAGGGAACTTAAAAGTAACTCCGTAATGAGCAACTGCTAGTAAAAGGTTTGGAGGGGGGGTTAAGAAGGCAGCGTTTCACTTTTTCACCACGGCTGGTTTTGGGCTTGTTACTCATAGCTTGAAAGCAGCTTCTCTCCCCATTAACCCAAAGTAACTAACTACCCAGAAAGGCTTATAATCACCTAACATGCTCGGACTGGTTAGCGGATTCTCCCACGGGCAGGACTCCAAAAGACATCCCTGGCTAGCCTCGCTGCAGAAAATATTAAGGTGAAAACTAACTTAAAAAGTCCATGCGCTTGGGCAAATGCAGGTGTGCCGGGATTGTGTGAAAGGTTGCAGACGCCGCAGGTTTGTAGGAGGAAAGCTCATTCCAAGCCTTTATTGGAGGAGAGGGAGAGCCCGCTTTGCGTTTCAATGAGATGCGCGGCTTCTTTAGATTTTAACAGAATAACAGTTGGAAGGGACCCTTGGAGGTCTTCTAGTCCAACCCCTCCCGAAGCAGGAGGCCTATACCATTTCATACAAATGGTTATCCAATCTCTTTATAAAAAAACCTCCAGCATTGGGAGCATCCACAACTTCTGGAGGCAAGCTTGTTTCATTGATTAATTGTATCTTACTGGTCAAGGGAAGTTCTCCTTGGTTCCAGGTTGGATCTCTCTCCTGGATAAAGTTTCCATCCATATTGATTGTGCGTTCCATATTGATCCCATATTAAAAGCAAACTATTGTAACATTGAATGCATTATTATTATTTTATTATTTTATTTTTGGAACCCCAGAACCGGGTTGAGAGCAGGGAAGCCACTTGGGGCTACTAAACTGATACACAAGCGGAGGAAGACACCCCCCCCACACTCATACCCGCACCCCCCCCACCACCCCCCCCCCCCCCCCCCCCCCCACTAGATCGGCCCCGCATTCTGGAACAAGCCTCGGTTTCCCACGAGGAACCCCCCGCGCGGCGCGCACGTGTTTGGAAGCGCAGGACCAGCGAGCGTCCAGCAACACGTGGCGTCATAACCTTGGAATGCCAAGATTCCCAGATCACTCCTAGAGAACGGGCGTGCAAGGCGGCACACGCGCGGCTTTCCCACACCTCTGGGTTCTTCTCCCTGCCCCCCCCCCCAAGATTCAGAGTAAAAAGCATTCTCACGTTTTAACACACGCCTCTTGCAAAGCTAATCAGGATTGCCTCCGGGCATGTGCAGAGCGCTTGCAAAAAAAAAAAAAAAGAGAGAGGTAAAAAAAAGAAAAACGGGGGTGGGGGGGTTGTTTAGGGATTGCCACCGCGCCGGACGCGCAAGCTTTTTTACCTTCCAGCACGACCTCCTTGCCCGCCCTCTTGAGCGCCTGCACGGCTTCGTCGTGGGTGGCATCGCGCAAATCCGCGCCGTTGACGGTCAGGATGGCATCGCCGACGTAGAGCGCTTGGGTCTGGTCGGCCGCCAAGCCTTTAAAGATCTTGCTGATGAGGATGGGCATCTTGTTCTCTTTGCCCCCTTTGATGCTGATGCCCAAACCGCCCATCTCTTGCTTCAACACCTTGACGCACCGCTTCTGGTTGGAGACGGCGTCGGGCACTTGTTCGGGCAAGTCGGTCAGCGCCGTCCGAACTCCCGCCGCCGCCGCCGCCGCCGTCTTGGGGCTCCCGCCGTTGTTGTTGCCGCTGCTGTTGTAGCTGCTCCCCGACGGCGATTCGGGCGAGCCAGCGCCGGGCAGGGGACAAGAAGAGGCTGTCGCCGCCCTCGACGCCCCACCGCCGGCTCCTCTGCCGCAGAAAGTTCCATTGCCCGCCGAGGCTGCCCCGATGCCGTTGTAAGCCGCGGCGCCTCCGCTTTCCTCGCCGCTCAGCACCAGCGCTTCGCCGCTCAGGGTCACCAGCACCCGGTGCCACCGGTCGCGCACCAAAACTTCCAGCGCGCCGCTCCGCTGCAACCGGCCGACGCCGCTGCCGCCGCCTCCGGCCGCCGCTACCGCCATCTTTGGAGCATTTCTTAAAACACCATGTGATTGAGCGCACGGGCACACACACACACACACACAAATACACACACCCGCGCGCGGCTACACACAGACACACACACACCACGCCCCGGGAAAGGGGGGGGGAAAGAAGTGGGTGAAAGAGAGCGCCCGGAGCCGCGTCGCCACTCCGAGAGGTCGGCGGAGACTTGGCCGAGGGGAGGGACCCGGGTTAAGCCAGCGGGGTGGGTTAGGGGAGGGCAGGGGCGGGGAAGGAGGGGAGGGGCGGAAGGGCGAGGCTTTCTGCCTTCGGGACGCTCCCCCTGTCGAACCGGAGTTGTCTGTGGGGGGGTTAGTGAGGTCCGGACGTTGCCCCGAGGACCCACCTAGGTGGCGGCGTTTCCCTCAGAACGCTTACAAAAGCGTCCCCGACGCTAAGGAGGGAGGGAAAAAAAGGGGGGCTGCTTGGGCTCCCCGGCTGTGGGGTGTCCTGAATTCCGTCTAAAAGTAATCTCGGATCACCTTGGGGCCGTTTCTCCGAAACCTGGAGTGCGGCGACAGGTAGTCCTCGATTTACAACAATTTGTTCAGTGACTGTTACAACTTCACAGAAAAAAAGCGACTGACGATCTTTTTTTTTTTTCACACTTAGCGACCGTTTTGCGGCATCCCCGTGGGTAAGGGGATCAAAATCCAGACTCTTGGCAACTGACTCATATTTATGACGGTTGCGGTGTCCCGGGATTATCTTTTGCGACTTTCTGACAAGGAAAATCTATGGGTAAACCAGACTCGCTTAACAGCTGTTACTAACTTAATAATTGCAATGATGATTCACTTAACTGTAGCGAGAAAGGTTGTAAAAACGGGGCAAAACTCAACATGTGTCTCACTTAGTAACATAAATTTTGGGCTCAACTGTGGTTGCAAGTTGAGGACTACCTGTGTACAAGATCAGCGTTCCCGTAACTCCAGAGGTTTGGACAAGAATCCCAGAGCCAGCCTTCTTTCAAAATGGCTCTCGACTCCCTGGAGGAAGGGTGGGAATAATCAACTTTTCCTACAATCTTATCCTTGGAAATAAATTGCAGGTTGCTTTTGTTTTATTTTGCTTTCTCGTTTCCCTGCACGAAGATCATCCAGTTATTTTTTTTTCCCCTCCAGTCTTTTCCTACACTGGATCACGGCAATCTAAGTGTATTAGTTTTTCATGTTAAATAACCTATTTTAAAACTGTGTCAGTAGATTGGCAGGAGCGTCGAAAATCCCACAGTTCCTAGGTTTCAACTATAGTTTTGTCAGGTTTTAGATTTAGATTTTAATAGGAGATTAAAGAATCCTATTAAAGAAACACTTCTTCCCGTTCAGTTAATGTGAGTGAAAAGCAAGAGTGCGCCAGTTGCTAGCTGTACCTCTTGGCTGCTGTTGCAACAGTTAGAAGAGCTGCTCGAAAAGAGTTGTAGTACACATAGTCCTCGATGTAAAACCACTCATTTAGTGACTATTCAAAGTTATGATGGCACTGAAAATAGTGACTGACCAGTTTTCACACTTAAGACCATTGCAGCATCTCCACGATCACATGATCAATATCAGTCGCATGGTGGTGTGGCCAGCCAGCTGCCAGCGGCAGACTCGGACGATGAGGAGGTTGGGAAGCAACTTGGGCCAATGTCTGGGGAAGGCTCTGATGGATGCTCTGTGTCGAACACAGAGATAGAGCCAGGGTCGTCCGACATTTCCCAGCCACTGGAGAGGCAGCTGCCTTTGGAGGCTGATATGTGTGAGGAGGAAGAACAGCTGGGGCCTGTTCCAGATGCACGTATGCACAAAGCAGTTAGAAGAGGTGAGCAACAGAGGACAAGGAGTCAACTTGGGAAGCAAAGTACACATGGACGCTGAATGGCCCCTCCGTGACTGGGGAATAAATAGAAGGAAAGGGGAGTAGTTGTCGTAGGAGACAACAGTTCGTATTTCTGAAGATTTTGCTCAATGTGTTTCGTGCCACAAAGACTGATTGCCAGAACTTAATTTGCAGCCCTTCCGCTGGGAGCTCATGGCTTTGCAATTATCGCAAGGAACTGATAAGGTCTGTTACTGCAGTTAACTCCTTGAAGGACTCTTGCCTGGACTTTTCAGTGGGTGAATGCAATTAATTCACAAGAGGTAAATAAAGAAGGTTTTTGCGTGACAAGGAGTCTGTTTCTTGCTTCTGCTAAGGCTGGGTCAGAACACTTGGCAACTGGCATGTACTTATGACAGTTGCCCTGTCCCCGGGGTTATTTGATCACCATTTGTAACCTTCCTAGCTGGCTTCTGACAAGCAAAGTGAGTGAGGGAAGCCAGATTCATTTAACGACTGCATGATTCACTTAACAACCAGATTAGTTTAACAACTGGCAAAAAGATAAATTGCAGCACAACTCACATAACCATTTAGTGTCTTGCTTAGCAAGATAAATTTCGGCCTCCACAACGGTTGTAAGTCGAGGACTACTTGTAGTCTGGAACTGGAAAAAAAGTCAACCTTGCTGAGCTCTTGAGTTGTCCTGGGTTAGAGCATTTCTTGACATCAGAGGTGGCATTCAGCAGGTTCTGACCAGTTCTGGAGAACCGGTAGCGGAAATTTTGAGTAGTTCAGAGAACCAGAAAATACCACTTCTGGCTGGCCCTGCCCCCAGATTTTGCAGTAACCTTCCCCTGGAGTGTGGTGGGAATGGAGATTTTACAGTATCCTTCCCCTGCCACACCCACCAAGCCACGCCCACTAAGCCATGCCACGCCCACCGAACCGGTAATAAAATTTTTTGAATCCCATCACTGCTTTACATGACAAAAATCAGCGATGAAAGACAGCAAAAACATTCTGAAAAGCCAAGCTGGGCATAATTTTTGTAAAGTAGAGAAATCACCAATATTTCAACCTCCATACTTGTAATCCTTGACTTAAACGGCCGTAATGCAGCCTGCCAGTTAAAATTGTAAGGGCCTGGTGGCTCAGCAGACTAGAAGCATTGTGATTAACACCAGCTGTCTGCAATTACTGTAAGTTCGAATCTCACCAGGTTCAAGGTTGACTCAGCCTTCCATCCTTTCTAAGGTAGGTAAATTGAGGACCCAGTTTGTGGGGGCAATAAGCTGACTTTGTATAAATATACAAAAGTATGAAGGCTATTGCTTAACTCATTGTAAGCCGCCCTGAGTTTCCGGAGAAGGGCGGCATATAAATCAAATTAAAAAAAAAAAGTTGTGATTATCCATGAAACAGGTCATCAATCCAATCCAATCTTTGGAGTGATTTTTTTTTTTTGACATAATCGTTAAGCAAATGCAGCCGTTGTTAGCAAACCCATTGTTTGCTATGGGATGTTTTTGCAGAAAATTGGAAGTAAATGCTGGTTTTGGCAAAAACATAGATTGAGTCTGCAGAATGCTGTAAACACCCATAGATGCAGTCATATAACCATGGGGCGGGGCAGGGCGGGGCAGCCATTAAAATTTAGGAATTGGGTCATAAATTCATTGGGGAGGAGACCATCATAACTTCAAATGGTCACTAAGTGAGTTGTTGTAAGTCGAGGATTACCTATATGTGGAACTTAGTTGCACCTTGTTCAGATACTAAACGGATAATTAAAGCCACTTTATTTGATTGGATAAACGTGATCGCTTTGTTCGATCTGGAAAGGAACCTGGGAAACTTCAGCTGTTGCCAATTTTCAGCCAGTAAGACTGGGTTGGTAATCCCATTAACTTTTCCCTCATTTGCATTAGCTTCCCTAATAGTTTCAGGGCACTACTCAGATTCATGACTATTTACTCAGTGATTATTTAAATTGGTTATAGCCACCCAACTCTGATAGACTCGGGGCAGCAGACAAAAAATGCAAACAGTAAAAACGATTTAAAACTTAAAACCAGACTGACTGCCCAGATTAAAGTGATCATAAGGGCAATAAGAAACCATATCAGGGCTTTGCAAAATGTATTCTAATTTATTGTAAGCCGCCCAGAATTACCGTGTGGCGAGATGGGCAGCTAATAATTTTTACAAATACAAGTAACTCTTGACATACGACCACAATTGAGCCCAAAATTTCTGCTGCTATTTCTGAGACATTTCTTAAGCGGGCTTTGCCCCATTTTATGACCTTTCTTGCCGCCGCTAAGTGAATCACTGCAATTGTTAAGTTAGTAACATGGGTGTTGTGAATCTGTCTTCCGCATTGACTTTGTCAGAAGGTCGCAATAGGGGATCACATAACCTTGGAACACTACAACCGTCATAAATATGAGTCGCCAAGCATCTAAATTTTGATCATGTGACCTTGAGGATGCTGCAATGGTCGTTTGAAAAATGGTCACAAGTCACTTTTTTCAGTCCCATTCTAACTTTCAACAGTCACTAAATGAACTGTTGTAAGTTGAGGACAGCTGTAAATATTGACTCCAGACCAAAGTCAGGTTTTAAGGGCTTTCCAGAATCCCTGGAGAGAAGCAGAACATGACTGTGAGAGATACAATTGGAGATAAATGCAGCCTTTGATAACCAGGCCAAATCCCACGCAGGGGATTGTGGGTAATAACCAGCATCTTGAATTGCATTGAGAAGCACGCATTGCCACAGGTTTTTATCCCAATTCAGTGGGATTCCCCAAAACCTCAGGGGTGGGCTGCTGGGGGTTCGCAGGGGTTCGGGAGAACCTCTAGCTAAGATTCTGTGCAGTTCGGAGAACCCCCAAATCCCACTCCTGGCTGGCCCCACCCACCCCGCCCCTCTCAGGAGTCACCATGCGGCCCATTTTGGAAACAGGTAAGTGCAGGGTGTGCACAGAGGCTCGGGGAGGGCGAAAAACGGGCCTACTGGAAATTCGGGAAGGCTGGAAACGGGCCCGTTTCTGGCCTCCAGAGCACTTCCAGAGCCTGGAGAGGCCGTTTTTGTCTTCCCGAAGGCTTGAGGAAAGCCTCTTGAGCCCGGGGAGGGCAAAAAGCTGCCCCCACCCCATGGTGCAGGAGGCTGAGTAGGCCACGCCCACCATGGCCACACCCACCCAGCAACCAGGCAGAGAATCCCTTGCTAAAATTTTTGACCCACCCCTGGCCAAAGCTCCCTTGGCCTTTAGGCAACCCACCCACAAGCACACAATAAGTAACATTCACAGGTCCTTCCCACACACTGCCTCAGGTCTACCACTGTTC